GTTCTTCTCAGGTCCATGTTCGTGCCTGAATAAAGCGGGAACGTTGCCATATGACCTATACTGTGTCGGTGTGACGTAAAACCCAATTAAACAAACAAACAAACAAATTGTCTAATTAATTATCTAGTCATTGCATTTTAATTCGTAGAATGAATAAACTAAGTTAAGCAACAAAATTGTCTAACGAAAAACCATGGGTTCAAAATCTAATATCAAACTCAGTTCTCAGGTATTTGATTGGTCAAAATCCAGTAAAGATTGTACATGTATATTGACCGAAGACAATTATGAGATCAGATATATATGAACATAAGCAAAAGGTCTATGCAAAGGGCAAAAATGTCGAAAATTGGATTTGTTTGCAATTATTATCAAGTTAATTTAAGGAAAGACATAAATAAAACACACATGTGCCAAAACCCTGTCAGGGGCAAGCCGTTGTTTCCTTGAGCAAGAACATTTACACTCATTGCTTAGTACTGGTTAGTTCCAGAAACGGATTCAAGAGTGTTTCAATAAGCTTACAGCTTCCAACACAATCGAACCAAAATAAATACGTATAAACTAAAACTCCGATGACATTTTTTAACATATCTCATATATGACCTTGCTTGCAATGAAGGCTTTTGTTATGCAGTCACAAACCTGTCTGTATACATTTACTAGTATCCTGGGTTACTTTATGAACAAGCATGTTTCAATGGGTTCATTTTATGCTTCAATAAACTTTTACATCAGATTCTAATGAATTGCCATAAATGAATCTTTTCGGGATTTGCCAAATAAATCATGTCTCACATGTGCATTGTTTCATTTTTGAAAGGAAGTTCCTAAACTGTTTATATATCCTATGAATAAGATCAAAATGTTTATATACAATTGATTGGTTAATCCGAATAAAATTGGTATATCCAGTTTAACATTTATTTTGCATTTTTGCCCTACCCAGAAAGCGCACGCACGAAATATCTTTCATGTTACTGTAAAGTTTTGTAAAAAAAAAGGGGGGGGGGGAGAAAGAGATCATTCATTTATCAGTAAAATTGATATATAAAAATTTTATTTAAACAAATCTTAAAGATATACTATGCTAAAATTTGATATTAGTAAATATTGATAATTGATTGACAGTCCAGTCTTTTTGTAAATACGAGTATACAATAAACATGTTTTGACTTCGAACTAAGTAAATATGTTATCTTTAAAATTCTACACACTATAGGTGGTCACAATATAAATATATATTGTTATTAAAAATCTGCCAGATTTTTTAAGAAAAGACCAACTTTACTTGATATGTATTAGGCAACGCAGCTTCTCATATTTATCTTTAATATTATTTTATTCAAATTAGACCAATTCAGCAAGAATTTCAAGGATTTCAATAAATTTCTGTGATTTAAATATGAATTGCTCAAGGATGAGCGTATCTTTAATAAAACCTATTTAGCAATGGATAAATACTATGTAAACCTGTAAAAGAAATGAAATAATATGTTTACCTGAAGCACTGCATGGCTTGATTGCCTCATCGACATCATCTTTCCCTTTATCCATTATTTTCCCCAGTACCTACTTGATACTTTTTGTATTTGCATTAATTATTTTAGAATTCAAAAGTACATAATATCAACCGATTATATAACATATTGTTTTCATTCAGTCTGTATTGTGTTTACAACAAACAAAGGAGTGAAATAGGATGGATGGACGGAAACGCTTAAAAGCAGTACTTAAAAATTACGTAAATAAACTCAACTGTAACTTGTTTTCAGAAAAATTAATTTTTCTATTCCATTATCGTTCAGTTGAATTGGTATATGGACTAATTTTCGCTTTCGATCAGTTATGTAACACGAGGTCTGGGGACCATTGTTTGCTGTTTAAACAAATAATATGACCTTCAAAGTTCATATATTTCTCATAAGAAAGTGAAAAGATCAGCAATGGTCAAACAAAAAAACATATTTAGTCGGTTTAAGTAATAAGGTGCATTGCGCAGAGGTTTCAACTGAATTTAATTTATACTTTCCATTTGATTATAAAAGATGTCGAGGGGTTGAAACTTCGATAACCTCCAAAAAATGATAACCAAACGGGGCTTGAAACTTCGGTTACCTTTGAGGTACAGTATGCAAACAGGCTTGAATTTTTGGTATCCTTGGAATAATCATCAAACTGGACGTGAAACTTTGGTAAACTTTGGTAGCAATAACAAAACTGGACATGAAACTTCGGTAAACTTTGGTAGCAATAACAAAACTGAATGTGAAACTTCGGTACACTTTGGTAGCAATAACAAAACTGAACGTGAAACTTCGGTTAACTTTGGTAGCAATAACACAACTGGACCTGAAACTTGGGTACACTTTGGTAATAATAACAAAACTGGACGTGAAACTTCGGTAAACTTTGGTAATAATAACAAAACTGGACGTGAAATTTCGGTAAGCTTTGGTAATAATAACAAAACTGGACCTGAAACTTCGGTAAACTTTGGCAATGATAACAAAACTGGACGTGAAACTTCGGTAAGCTTTGGAAATAATAACAAAACTGGACCTGAAACTTCGGTAAACTTTGGTAATAATAACAAAACTGGACCTGAAACTTCGGTAAACTTTGGCAATAATAACAAAACTGGACGTGAAACTTCGGTAAGCTTTGGTAATAATAACAAAACTGGACCTGAAACTTCGGTAAACTTTGGTAATAATAACAAAACTGGACGTGAAACTTCGGTCACCTTAATTTGAGAAATATTGAATTTTCGTAACCTTAATTAAACTTGACTTGAAACTTCGACAATCTTTGGGGAATGATAACAAAACGGCTTGAAATGTTGGTAACCATTTATGAATAATACACTTTGGTAATAATAACAAAACTGGACGTGAAACTTCGGTAAACTTTGGTAATAATAACAAAACTGGACGTGAAATTTCGGTAAGCTTTGGTAATAATAACAAAACTGGACCTGAAACTTCGGTAAACTTTGGCAATGATAACAAAACTGGACGTGAAACTTCGGTAAGCTTTGGAAATAATAACAAAACTGGACATGAAACTTCGGTAAACTTTGGTAATAATAACAAAACTGGACCTGAAACTTCGGTAAACTTTGGCAATAATAACAAAACTGGACGTGAAACTTCGGTAAGCTTTGGTAATAATAACAAAACTGGACCTGAAACTTCGGTAAACTTTGGTAATAATAACAAAACTGGACGTGAAACTTCGGTCACCTTAATTTGAGAAATATTGAATTTTCGTAACCTTAATTAAACTTGACTTGAAACTTCGACAATCTTTGGGGAATGATAACAAAACGGCTTGAAATGTTGGTAACCATTTATGAATAATACCCAAGCAGGGCTTGAATTTTCGGTACCATTTGGGTAAAAATAACCAAACTGGACTTGAAACTTCGGTAAATTTTGATAAATAATAACTACACTGGGTTTTAAATTTCGGTAAACTTTAAGGAATTATAACCAAACTGAACTTGAAATTTCGTTAATATTTGAGAAATAATAAACAAAACTGAATTACATTGTGTAATGTAAAACGAAACTATCTCAGCTATGATAGGCATCTTTATGACCCGGGCAAAAACTAAAAGAAAAAGTTCAAGCGGCTTTGTTTCCAAATATAGTTTATTTTAATATTTACTACTAGCATGTTCTAAATAAATATAAGCATAGAACATATAGTTGAATAAATAACACAGAATATCTGGAAATGGAGCGATCCCTCAGAAGCAAGGAAAGCAATAATACTAAAGTGGATATGAAATAACAGATTCGGTTTGATTGAGTCTGTTCATAAGAGATAGTGTAAAAGTATGACATCTCAGATAATGTAAAAGTGTGACATGACATCTCAGAAAATGTAAAAGTGTGACATGACATTTCAGATAAAGTAAAAGTGTGACATGACATCTCAAATAATGTTAAAGTGTGACATCTCAGATAATGTAAAAATGTGACATGGTATCTCAGATAATGTAAAAGTGTGACATCTCAGATAATGTGAAAATGTGACATCTCAGATAATGTAAAAATGTGACATGACATCTAAGATAATGTAAAAGTATGACATGACATCTCAGAAAATGTAAAAGTATGACATGACATCTCAAATAATGTAAAAGTGTGACATGACATCTCAAATAATGTAAAAGTGTGACATCTCAGATAACGTAAAAATGTGACATGACATCTCAAATAATGTAAAAGTGTGACATGACATCTCAGATAATGTAAAAATGTGACATGACATCTCAGATAATGTAAAAGTGTGACATCTCAGATAACGTAAAAATGTGACATGACATCTCAAATAATGTAAAAGTGTGACATGACATCTCAAATAATGTAAAAGTGTGACATCTCAGATAACGTAAAAATGTGACATGACATCTCAAATAATGTAAAAGTGTGACATGACATCTCAGATAATGTAAAAATGTGACATGACATCTCAGATAATGTAAAAATGTGACATCTCAGATAATGTGAAAATGTGACATCTCAGATAATGTTAAAATGTGACATGACATCTCAGATAATGTAAAAATGTGACATCTCAGATAACGTAAAAATGTGACATGACATCTCAAATAATGTAAAAGTGTGACATGACATCTCAGATAATGTAAAAATGTGACATGACATCTCAGATAATGTTAAAGTGTGACATCTCAGATAACGTAAAAATGTGACATGACATCTCAAATAATGTAAAAGTGTGACATGACATCTCAGATAATGTAAAAATGTGACATGACATCTCAGATAATGTAATTTTAAGTGTGACATCTCAGATAACGTAAAAATGTGATATGACATCTCAGATAATGAAAAAGTGTGACATCTCAGATAATGTAAAATGGTGACATCTCTCACGCTCCATGAATACTTCTACAAATTCGTTATTCGTGAACGAATGTTCAAAACAAATTATATAGAAATACTAAAGGAAAATAAACTCCAGGTCTCTAACCTCACTCTATAACACAAGTTATTTATTGTCTTTATAAATCAACCAAGCTATGAGGCCGATCCACATTGCTATGAGGAGCCAGTCGATGGTTACCATTGCGAATGCGAACCTAAGGAGACTTTTGTCACAATCGCCATGAGAACATCCGGTAGTTTCGTTCAGCTTACACACTTTAAAGTCTTTAGACATAACAACTCCGTAGGTTGGATACACCCAAGCTGTACCTGAAAGAGAATATAATTATATGAGCCGTGTCACGACAAAACCAACATAATTGGTTTGCGACCAGCATGGGTCCAGACCAGTCTGCGCATCCGCGCAGTCTGATCAGGATCCATGATGTTCGCTTACCAACTCTATTACAAGTAGAGAAACTGATAGCGAACAGCATGGATCCTGATCAGACTGCGCGGTCACAAACGCACTACGTTGGTTTTTTCGTGACACGGCTCATATAATGTTATCATTTTATATTTATTTAGAGTTGTAAGCTTCATATGAGTTGCATATAAAACTACCATGTACAACAAGGGGGTGATACGATGCGCGCGCATCCTCAAAGTTCTGATAGCTCGGAAGTGTTTGAAGATGCGCGCGCATCGCGTCAGCCCCTTGTATAAGCCATCGCTTTCTGTTGATGTTTTGAAAAAATCCTTACATCTTATTTGACAATTTCATTCCGCAAAAATGCATACTGACTGCGCCAACAAAAGAAATATATCTTGTTATTTGCAAGTCCTGTAAAATGAAACCTCCCGATACAATTTATGGTATTTATATGTGTTTAGTGCTAAAATTCAATTATCCATGATACAGTATAGACAGATATTCTATCAACGGTCGAAGAACTTTAAAATATGTTTGTAAATTCAATTTGGCAGAGATAAATTGTATAATAATTAACACTCACCGCAGATTAGCCATATAAAACTGAACAAGAACCCGAAACATCCACAAATCAGCTGGCAACAAGTTTCAACATCCCCATTTCCCCTGCAACTCAAGCCACTGAACATTAACGGAGCCAGCCCACTTACAACGAGATAAATTGGTACATACTTTTCAATACTACAGTTGTCCAGATGTGTTGAACCTTACAGAAGAAAGGAAAAGATTAATGTCCTAAGTCGCACTGTATTGATCAAGACTTTTTACATTAAAAGCCCATTATACACCTGAAATTCTATCATTTTTATTACTCAAAAACTTTTTATTTTTGGTGTACAGTTTTGGTTCCCAAAAACTTACTCACTGGCCAAATACCCAAGCCATCTTTTGTACTCTGTTCCTTTTTTTGTCAATTAGTACTATTTTAGTGATTTAGTACTATGTATGGAAGTCAAAATACCGCTTTGTTTACTGCTTCTCTTTTGACAAGTAATTTCACATTGAGCGCCAATTTCTTCAGGCGAAAAGCATCTGTCATGCTCTGTTATCGTTATTTAAAAGTTATAAAACTCATGCTTGCCATTTCTAAAGAATGCAGAATTTATTAATTTCTGAGTCACATTGTGCCTTTAATAAAGCTGTTTGCTATACTAGGATTCTGATATTTAAAGGCACATTATGCTTCAAAAATCCATATTTATTTTAATTCATAAGAAATGTCAAACATATGTTCAATGATGTTTTATTTATGGATTAAGAGCGTGTTAGATGTTTAACGAATGAAGAAAGTAGCACTGAATGTTTAGCAATGTGTCGTAAAGGTAGCAAAATGTAAACAAAGTAATATTTTTTACTTCGTTACAAAATACTTATTCACTATAATTACACCAATTGCCAACAGAGCAAAAGAAGCAATAGGTAGTTCACCTATATATGGCTTGAAAAAAAAGACAGAGAATTCAAAATGATAGAAATTTGAGGCATAAAGAGCCTTTAATAAATCCGAAACTTTTAAAATTACACTCATTTATGACGCACATCATACGGTACAGCCCGGCACCTTGAGAAATGGTCAGTTTCGTAATAATAGACTGTTTAACTAACATTTTATTGTTAAAGTATAATACTTATGAAAACATGTTACACGAATTTACGATTTGGTTTCAATAAATTACTAATATTTAGTAAAAAACGACACTTTAATTGGTTTAGAATGACATATTTGCGTAATAAATGTTGTCTTTATGTTTATGAACAATTATTATACCATTTTTACAATTTATGCATTTGACATCTTAAAGGTACTTTATAGGAGCTTTTTGTGTTTCTTCTTTACCTACCAATGACCATTTTAGCTATGCCAAATCCGGTTAAACCCACAATCAATAGAATCACAGCACAATATATCGCTGAAATACAACCAATAGAATGACAGCACAATATATGGCTGAAAATATATCAAAGATAAGTGTTTTAAAATGTATACTTTTGTATCATTGTTAAAAATGGTAAATATGTGCAGATCTATAGATGAGTAGCTGTTCATTATCTAATTAAAGGAATTCTGCTAAGGTCCAATCGTAAATCAGCTGGTGCTCTTTAAATGGAAGGCTATGCCATAAGTAATATGTATATAAATTAATCGGTACTAAATTGATAATCATTTTGTATGCGGGTTTTGGGCCAATATTAGTGAAAAGCGTTGCAACGCTTTTCATTTTGAGGTAATTTGCGCAATAAAATTGATTATCACTGGGAAGCGGAGTAAGCAAATATTGCACACAAGATGTTATTCTTGCATATCAGACTGGCGTTTCCGTGAGTTTTACCCATGCCGGAAATTTCATCTGGCATGGGGGTGCCAGATGAGTCGCGTGCCAAACAACAACGTCATTTTTGCGCGCTTTATGAATGAACCGCGTTAAAATGACGTCGTTTTAGAAGGGAAATTTGTGCTAAGGATGACGTCAGTTCGCCGTTGTTATTTAAGTTGTAAGTTCATACGCTATTGTAAGAAAATAGTTATGGATGAAATGACTTTAATTTCCATGAACATATATTATATTGAGGTAAACCATTTTAGATATGAAATAATATGGCAGAATATGCAAGAAAAAATATCTAACATATGTTTGCGGTTCGGATCATAATATCCGTCCCTCGGGAACCCGCCCATGGGCGGTAACTCGGCAAGCCTCGTTCCCGCCCAATGGGCGGGTCCCCTCGGGACGGATATTCCGGTCTGAACCGCAACATATGACAGATATTATTATTCTTGCATAGCAGACTGACGTTTCCGTGAGTTTTACCCATGCCGGAAATTTCATCTGGCATGGGGGGTGCCAGATGAGTCGCGTGCCAAACAACAACGTCATTTTAGCGCACTTTATGGATGAACCGCGTTAAAATGACGTCGTTTTAGAAGGGAAATATGTGCTTAAGATGACGTTACCCAATGGGCGGGTCCCCTCGGGACGGATATTCCGGTCCGAACTGCAACATATGACAGATATTATTATTTCAACATGGTCTCAGGTTTTTCATCGACATGCAGGCCTTCCCTTCGTCGCCTGAAACAAAAGGTGCATCTATCTTTGTAATCCAATGCGTAATTCATCCCCGACCCGGATGTAAAGTCATGGCAAACAGCTTCGAAATCACGGATTTATATGTAATAATATAAATCCGTGTTCGAAATTCAGGATGTCAGTGGACTTAAAATTAGTTCTGGCTTCCAGAACTGTATATGTCGGTTTTATTTTAACGTTGTGCGACAGTGAACAGGTCTATCAGTACTATAAAACCTGTTCGCTGAAGTCTCTTTAAATAGCTAACTTAAAATATGATACAATGACAAAAATAATGCATAATTACAAAGTTTTACAACACATTTAGTGAAACAATTTCGATTAAAGGATAACGTAAGCAGAATTATTTAAATATTACTGGCAAATACGTAAAGATAAAATAATACGGAAGGAAAATTTAAAAAAAAAGATATTTAAAGTTTCAAACTAAAATACACTTATTTTATTCATTTTGATGTTATCAGGGTATAAATTTTAACTGTATTGTAATTTAAAATATAACTTGTATCACTGTGCAATAACATCAACATGTATCTATCACAAATTTACATCATCCTGGACAGCTAGGAAGATAAACCACGGTTTTATATTAAATATAAATCCGTGGATTAACATAGGAAATAAATAAATTGACATTCTTATAAGAGAGACGACAACGTACACACATTGATTGGTTAAAGTTTTCCCCGTGTTCTTCCGTTCAAAACAAGAGTTACAACAACAACAACATTAACAACAGTCAATTAACCAAGGCAAATAATCTACTTGACAGCTTACTCTGTTAGAGTTTATCATCTAAAAATTACCTCTGATTTCAGGTAATAAATCACTGCATAAATCAGAAGTATCATAAAGCGTTAAATCACCTCCGCGGGTGAGTAAATTGCATCAAAGGGGGTTGTAACGGTGCCTGGACTCTGGTGACCAAAACTAGGTCCAGACCCAAAAAACAGGTGACAATCCTTATATATAGACATTGTCACCTGTTTTTTGGGTCTGGACCTAGTTTTGGTCACAAATTTCCCCAATATAGAGTTAAGGCACCGTTACAACCCCCTTTGAATTTCATCATCTGAATAGCAAACACTTTTGGAAATTTGGAGACATGTTCAAATTATGCAAGCTATGGCTGCACAGAACTACTCTGGGGTAGGGAGTAGGGTAACTGCAGGAGGTAGCTGGTTCCAGTGGTATACCATCCTAGGAAAGAAAGAGAATTTATAAAAGTCTGAAGTTGCTGTGAATAAACTATGAGGCTATGTCATGTTTATGTCGGCATCCCATGTAGGTTTACTGATATATTCATGCCTAGGTATTTATTCGAGGTAACTGATTCTTATTAATTGTTAAGCAGTATAATGTAGATGTAGAGATTGGACTCCATGAAAGTAGTATTGTGTTGGGATAGGATGTTTCCATTTTGCGACGTGTATAAAGACTATAACTTGACTTTTGGATGGGTTTAATTTCATATCCCACTCCCATTTTTCTAACTGATTAAGGTCATTTCAAAGCGGAGGGTGATTAATTGGTTTACAGATGTCAGAGCAATGTATTTTGCAGTCTGCAAACAATAGGAATTAAGCGATGATCGAATAATAATCGAAAAATTGATTGTTTACAGACTTCCCGAAAGTTAAAAAAAACTGTCAGACATTCGGTCTGACAAACCATGAAAATCTGTCGGACTGAAATGAAATCTGTCAGACCGAATAAAATTGATCAAAATCAAAGAAAAACTTATGTTTGTATTTGTAAGACACTTTTTGGTTTAATTTTTTTCGCCGTAAAAATCGGCACATTCCGTACAGCGCATTTTCATCTCCTCCCTGTCATACACCAACGATTCATGGTCCTGCGTCCATTTTCATTAAATTTTGTCTCCGGTCTATTCTTCTCATTCTTTTATTGCTGTTCTGCGCACTCCTCTGACGTAGATTTTCGTTTTTTCCCAGGTTTTGCACCTTTAGTGACACCATTTTGTATACATGCCGCTTGCATAAAAGCCGGACATTCAGACCGATCCGGAATAAAAAATCGTCGGACCTGATCAAAATTTATCGGACATGTCCGTCTGACCGACATATTTCGGGAAGTCTGTGTTTATAGAAATTGATGACGATAATCGATTACAAGTTTAATAATCAATCATCAGTAATTTATTTTCTCGCTGTTACTTTAAGTGACTCACTGTATTATAACAACACTCTAAATTAAAGCCAGCTTAGGTTTACTGTATAATTTTTCATTGAAATGAATATGAAAGCATACTGGTGGCTACTGCCTGGTGATCATGGAGTTAATAGTTGACAATGAGACATTCAAATTTAAAGATATAGATCTACTATGTTCAAATTTGACATTAGAAAATATTATGAATTTCTACAAGTCTCTTTGTAAATATAAAATAAACATGATTTGACTACACACAAAAAAGATATGTTATGTATGAAATTATTCTACACACTATAGGGGGCTACAATATGAATATATACTGACATTAAAAAGATCCCAACAATTTTGTTAAGAAAGGACTAAGTTACTTGTCTCCATAATAGGTTGCATCTTCAAAAGTTCCCAGTTTATTTATTCTTTATTCAAACTGAGACATAATAATTTCATAGACTTTAATGAATTTATTTCATTAAAATATTATACTCAAGGATCTTTAAAGTAGTGTTTTTCAGCTGATAAAGTAGTAGTAACATAAAATACAGAATACTAATGGATTACTTATAAATATAAAAGCATGATATGTGCATGTACACAATTACTTTGTTAATGTAAATGCTTCGATTATATAATCGATGATTGATCGAAAAGGGTTGTTCGATTATTTTCGATGATCGATTATGATTTTTGTCCGATTAAGAAACCCTAGCAAACAAGCAGACTTGGATATTTATGTTTTGTGGGAGGTCATTTATATAGGCGAGAAACAGGAGGGGGTCCTAGAACTGAGCCTTAAGTAATGTTGTTTTAGACAGGTTAAGGACGTTTTCGGGAGTTTTCATATAGACAAATAGGCAAAATTAAAACTGTTCAATAGAATTTCTTTAAACTTGGCATGTTGTTAGAATATGATAACAGAAACATTTTAAAGGAAAAAAAAAACGGGGGTCACCATTCTCATTTTCGAGTTATCTGCCCCTGAAACAAAATTTTCTTCTTATTTGAGGTCATTTCAAGGCTGTTTGGAGTGTGATTAATTGGTTTACAGATGTCAGAGCAATGTATTTATAGAGGTTGCAAATAAGAATAAGAAAACAAAATAACTACTGTACTTACCCACTTGTTATAAGACGCAGCCACAACAGGGTTTTTTGCGAGTCAAATTTTTGTTGATAGGCGAAAAATCTTTATTGATTCTGTCATACAAAATCAGCCAAAAATCAATAAATTATATAACTCTTGCTATGTTTTCAGCCTTTGTTGGATTAAAGAAGTCAGTGAAGGATGGGCAGCGTTGATTATTATCATGCTACAATGATAATCAGGGCAGAAGAAGAGCTTGCCATAAGAACAGTGTTTGAAGACAAAAATTGGCCATGCTATTTAAAAAAGGTAAATTTGACACAAAGTTAGTTATTTGATCTAAGTTAGTGTAAGAATGACCAGTTTATATTACAGTGATGTTGAATTCCCTATGTCTATCTTCTTAGCAGTCTGGTTTTAGTGAGGTGGCAAAGTAAATTTTGGGTAGAAAATAGTGCTTTAATGCAATTTTTCCACACTCTTTAGTTTATACTAATTTATTTTATTTTGATTGTGTTGGAAGATATAAGCTTATTGAAACACTCCCCAATTGAAAAACTTCCTGAAACCAACCAGTACTAAGCAATGAATGTAAAGTTTCTTGCTCAAGGAAAAAACTGCTTTTCCTG